GGTTTGAAATCGTTGGTGCGATTTCTTCTTAATTCGTTGCTCGTGCGCAATGCGTTAGTGCAAGGTTGTCGGCACGATTTATCGACGATATGTATTAATTGACGTGGCGGAAGGTTTATTCAGGCATGAATTTCTCGGCGAATCATGTATTCGTGCATGCAGAATGCACCGCGGGTGGCAGTGGTTGAAATAAGAACGCAATAAGAACAAAGTTTTTTGTTCTTGTTTTTAGTTTTAGTTCCATCGCGTTCCCAGAATAGAATTAACGTGCATGGGACGATCTTGTTGATTGATTTCACCGTGACAATTTCACTGTGGAATTCGTCGTTATCATTCGATCGGGAACGTGATGCTATTTCATGCTACTCCAGACAGACGTGTGATGTGTGACTCGTTTCGTTGTATAATGACAGATATGCTTTGAGAGCTAATTTATTACTTTCATTAATGAGTTTAATTTTGTATGTCCAAGAGGGATAATTTATCTTATAAATACTAATAAGTCGTTCGCATCACATTAATTATATCATTTACGCTTGTTCTTTTGTGTTAATTACGTGACTTTCTTAAGTATAATATGTTGTATGATGTATGTACATAGAGGCTATGTCTAGATAAGATAGTCATATTTGAAGGAAATTTATGCGATTTTTCGAGTTTTTGTTCCAGTCCGAATGAATGATGAATGCAGGGAAGTGACAAGTTTTATGAATTTTAATAAATCAAACTACAGAGGGTATATCTCGAAAAGAGAAAATTAAAAATTACAAAAATGAGCAAATTTAGTAAAATATTCATTAATTAATTTAATATTAATTAATTTAATTAGTCAACATCTAGTGAATTTTTCACTTTTGAAATTTTCACCTCATTTCAAAATACACAATCGATTCCTAGAAGGGAGGCCGCACTACTGCGTACTGTTGCATATTAAGATGGAATCACTCAATTTCTTCAATGACAGCACGCACATAATCATGCCTGCTCTGATGTATGCTAGAATTCGTTCATATATACATTGATATATGCTGCGTACTTTTTATATTTATTATAGATTACTTCATAGCTTATTTCCTTGCATGCACCAATCAAAAGAAATAATTTCTAACTAATTTCATAGTTAGTTATCAAATGTCAGACTATATGCATCAAAGCAAGCATGCATGCGTGCATGCTTATCATTCAAGGAATCGAGCAACGTGTGATTTCATCTTTATAAAGTCGTACACATGATTTAATCTACGTGTAAAAGTGAAATGCAATATTTCGAATTATACATACATACATGTACGTGCACATTTAAACTCACGTGAGTAGTCTTTCGCTGAACGGATTTGTCATGCGAATGACGATGAACGAACGTTTTGAAACCAAGACCCAGGACTCAATGTGTTTTCCTCGTAAATATTCGTGAGGATGCAGATGGAGGTTAATGGACAATATAGGGCGTTTCTATTTGCACCGAAAACGTTTGCTTTTATATTTTTATCTTAGATGTGCTTTAAAAAAATTTCCGCTATTCACAGAGCGATCATTGTTCACATTAGGGAACATTAGAGAGGAATGCTTTTCATTAGACAAATAAATCAAGTTAATAATCTGATGATCGGAAAGCAATAATGAATCTCGAAAGTTATTTTATCAAACGAATTTTCTCCGAATCACATTTCTTGATTTGCGCGCGCGCGCGTGTGTGTGTATGTGTGTGTGTGTGTGTGTGTAGTACGAACGTATTTAATTTAAGATAAAAATAAATTTTGAAACCTTGAACCTTTTACAGAGAGAAATATAAATTTTATAATATTTTAATAATGTCAAACTAATTGTAAATATTCTCGTCTATATAAGATATATATCTTTTATTATATATAATAATTGTCAAATATTTCATGAACAGGTAGAGCGGACTAAACTCGAAAAGTCCTCTATTATTTTCGCAATAGTTAATAAGATATTAATTAAATACTACCCTATAGGCGCATAATATTATTTCATATTAACTAATATTTTAAGCATATTCTTAGAATATTAAATGTAACATTTCAAGAATATTTTAAAATTGTATAATATTAAATATTGTAATATGCTCCAAGTATTAATGGAGGTTATATATACTCCTGATAATATTATATTATTATTAAAAGTAATATTATTTAATATTACTGTAATATTGTTTATTGTAAACATTAAGAAGTATTACAATAGCATTTACTTTAATTTATAAAACTGTTACATCTGTTCGTATAATAAGTATATAAGTATACGTTTAAAGACTGAAAATGATTTTGGCTCGCAGTTAATTATTGCGAAAATTGCAAAATGGAACAAGACTTTTCCTCTAATCTGCTCTACCTCCATGAAATATTTGGTGATTATTTTGGGATACTCTGTGTGTGCGTGCGTGCGTGCGTGTATAGAGGATGTTTCATTTTAAGTGATATCGATTATCTTCGAATCGATGATTTTATTGAAAAATTTTTCCAACGAAAGTTGCATGGCTTGAAGGGGAAACACATGATGGAAATGTAGACTTGATCTTGAGTGACCTTGTCAAAATCAGATCAAGGTCATTAATTCTTTTTTTAATAGAAATCCCTATTTTTTATTACATATTCTTGTAGCTTTCTTGAGAGTTTTCTAAAATTAAATAATAAAGTTACATTAAGTATTAATCATTAAGTATTTTCCGAGTTATGGAGCTTGAAAGTTATAGAACCACCAGCGTTATTTATGTACGCATGCGAACGGAATTCATATGCGCGCGCATCTCCCATGCGCGATCTATCCACATTTGACATACGCTCACGCGCACGGAATTGAGTCTAAACCTTCCCAATTAAACGATTCAACTTTCCTCTTTTTTTCGTATAACTTTTTCATTCAATTTTTTTACAATAGGCTTTAGTGGGCTTTTTCAAAGCTTTTTTTCAAAATGGTCGCTTAGTTGAAATGAAATCATTGATATTATTTTGCTTGGTGAAGCTGGACGAAATTTGTAGAGCAGAAAGATTGTATCATAATGGATATCCGTTTAGATGACATCCAAATGCAATGCAGATAAGAATTTTATTATGAGAGCGTAGAAGAATCCATAAGAGAAACCGCAAGCAAATAAATGCTAAAGACGTTAATGATCCTTAGTTGGCCGGATCAATGATCAGTCTTGCCTTATAACTTAACAAGTATTTAATGAAAAGTAACTTTATTATAGTGTTTTGGAAAACTGTCTTGGATAAGCTACAAAAAGAAAAAATAGGCTTCCATTTAAAAAAAACATTAATGATCTTGACTTGATTTTTACAAGGTCATTCAAGATCAAGTCCACATTTCCATCATGTATTCTCCTTTAAGCCATGCAACTTTCGTTAAAAAATTTTTTAATAAAATCATCGATTCGCGCACTTAAAATGAAACCCTGTGTGCGCGCGCGCGCGCGCGCGCGCGTGTGTGTGTGTAAGGCCTTGTGCACAATAGGAGATGTTAGAAGCAGAAATAAATACTAGAAAATAAAATAATGAGTATATATAGAATATATAGAAGATGCAAATATATATATAGAAGAATATATATATTAGGTGTACAACTTTGCTTCCGCCGTTTTTTTTTCCGAAATTCGAGGATTTATTGTAAAAAACTGGTTATATATTTATGATTCAAAGTATTGTCCATCACTACTTTCTCCCATCTTTCGGGTAGCGTACGAATCCCGCGTCGAAAAAACTGGTCATCTTTTGAGGCTATTCACGAATCGATCCAATTTTTTACTTCTTCATAAGACCGGAAGTGCTGGTCAGCCAGGCCGGGTGCCATTGATCGAAAAACAAGTGATAGTCAGAGAGAGCAACGTCTGGAGAATACGGCGGGTGGGGTAGGACTTCCCATTTCAACGTTTTCAGTATGTCTTGACCACTTTCGCAACATGGGGTCGAGCATTGTCATGCTGCAAAATCACTTTATCGTGTCTCTCGTTGTAATGCGGCCGTTTGTCTTTCTTCAGCTCAAACATATCAATTGCATTCGATACCGATCGCCTGTGATTGTTTCAGTCGGTTTTAACAGTTCATAATACACTACGCCGAGCTGGTCCCACCAAATACAGAGCATGACCTTGGAGCCGTGAATATTCGGTTTGGTCGTCGAAGCATGGCCGGGAACTCCCCATGATTTTCTGGGATTATCGTAATGAACTCATTTTTCGTCCTCAGTCACAATGCGATGCAGAAATCTCTTCCGTCTTTGCCTTTCAAACAGCTGTTCACAAGCAAACAAACACCGTTCAACATCTTTCGGCTTCAATTCGTACGGCACCCAATTTTCTTGCTTCTGAATCATTCCCATGGCTTTGAGGCGTTTTGAAATGGCTTGTTGAGTCATTCCCAATGATCGTGCTAATTCTTCTTGATTTTGACACGAGTCTTGCTCAAGTAATGCCTCCAATTCTTTGGAATTGGAAAACCTTCTCTCTTCTACCGCTATGCCGGTCTTCGACGTCAAAATCACTGTTGAAATCACTCACGACACTTCTTTCATCTAATAGCGGCCTCACCATAAGTATTTGAGAGCATTCAATGAGCCTCAGCCGCATATTTCTTCATATTGAAGCAAAAAATTAAAACCTCCCGCAAATGACGAGAATTTGGCTCGTAAACTGACATTTTCAATCGAGAATAACTTTATGCAGACACAAATCGACTAATGTTTCTATGGGGTTATGTTGACAGATGCCCAAGTTTATTGTATGCCGTTTATGATCTATTTATTTCGACCACCACTTACCACTAAAGCCATCTATAGGAAAACGGCGGAAGCAAAGTTGTACACCTAATAGAAGATGCAAAGGCATTTATGTCTTATATATTATTTGTATCCATTGTTCGTTTTGTTGAACAACTCAGTGAAGTTAGCCGTTGGTCGGATCTCGATCGAATTGATTCGCGACAATTGCGATCCAGTGGTAGATTGGGTGACAAAAGGAGAGGGAAAAGGCAAAGTGGGGAGAGCACAGTCATAGCCGAGTGCCGACAGCGTTGAACGCGGCGCATGGCGTAGAGTGGCGAGTGGCGAGTGCGGTGGAGCGCGGCGACGCGACGTCTTGGCGTCTCCGCTCGCGATTACTCCACTTGCACTCTGGTCTACTCGCGGCGCGCGGCTTGTCGTGCCGTGAACCGTGAATGCCGCGCTGCGTCAGTCTGCTCCGAGAAGTCGTGTGGTATTCATCGTATGCAGTGTGATTCACTGCACGCCTACGCTTATGAAACGTCAACGACACGCAACATTCGAGTCCGTTTCCTCGTCGCGTTTACCTGACGTTCTTCGACGTCAGACTTCACTATCACTGATCACCGGATTACTGAGCACCTTGCAGCGCATTGACGAGCGCAGCGTCTCATCGCATTTCAACGCAACTCAACGGTCATAAATAAACATGGATCGATCATCCAAGTTAATTCTGCGGAAAGTCATCATAGACTTCCTCTGTCTATTTGTTGGTAAGTAAAAGCGCCAGATTTTTGTGTGGATTCGAAGAAGAACGCGTTACACATCGAACGACCGGCTACTTATATATATCAGATTGACAGAGTAGAGGCGCCGCGCGCGGTTCGCTTGATGTTTGTCCGCGCTAAGTGAGGAGGGTGTAATCTTTAAATTGGCAGATGCACTTTGTTTATGCCAAAATATTGCATGTACAGTTCTCTTTCTTTCTCGACGCATGAGAACGTGCATTGTTAATGCGATGTGAGCACGATTTCTGCGAATTGCTTTGGCAGATAATGCGTGTTCGCAAGGTATTCGCTAGAGAGAGAGAGAGAGAAAAATGAAAGAGAGAGAGAGAGAGAGAGAGAGAGAGAGAGAGAGAGAGAGAGAGAGAGAGAGAGAGAGAGAGAGAGCGCTCTGTTTCGAAAGTACGCGGGATTTTAACTTTTAGTGCATTCCGTAGCGGCACTTACAATGGAATCTCTTCGCTCAATTTATGTCGCAAGAGCTTTAATGGTTTTAATCTTCATCTGTGGATTTACTTATCTAGGGTACTTTTTCTTAAAAAAGGCAGAGGAAATTCTTAAAATAGTAAACTTGCCCTAGTATGTATATATTGTTGTATATCAAATTTTTTAATTTTTTCAATTCTCAGAAATAAAGTCGCAAAACTTTATTAATCTTTTGAAATTTATAGAGATTTTCAAAGAACTGTACAGTTTACGTTCGTATCGATGTAGATTAATAATCTTTGTATTCTTATGTAATATTAATCTAACGCGAGATAAAAGAAATTGGATGCAAACAATTTTTACATTTAACATACTTAATATATGTAAGTAAATGCATCATAATAAAAATTATCGTAATAAAAATTAATTGACCAAAATTATACTTGCAAACAATTTTTAAATTTTCGCTTTCAGATAGTCTTATATTGTTCTACGGATTAGATATAATATTACAGATATAATATTACATTGATTTGCAAAATGACATTAGCGATAACATGACTCTCTCGCGGTAATTTGTGCATCCTTATATATATATATATATATATATATATATAGGATTCTAACATGGATAATATTAATAAACAGGAACAATATAATATCATATAGATGATAACGTCTCAAAGGAAATAAAAGATAAGTTGTTCCAAATATTAATAGATTAATAGCTAATAGTGAAGCCAGCGCGATTTAATGTAATAAAATTAAGTAGATCGTGATTTCATTCCGCGAGTGAAAACACTCCATTTTTCCAATCAGTCAGTACTTATCAGTCTTCATCATAATAGCGACATGATGGATGGTTAACGCAGTACGCGATGTTTCGCAGAAATGTAGTACATTTCGCGCGAACGCGTATCTTGTATAAACATGTTGTAAAATCGGTATTGCTTTCGATTGATATCATCTCTCGGTGACGCCAGTGACACAATTCCACGCGCGATACAAACAGACAATACGACGCCTTCATTCATCTGCCCACAAAACTGCGGTATACGCAATGACAACATTTTGTCACTTCCGTTTAAATAAGATCCATCGCGAAACTGTACTTTGTATTGACCTCTTTTGTCGTAATACAATGAGATAAGTATTATTACGAATATTGCATTAAACGTGAAACAGATCACTTTATCTATTTTTTACGCAAATGCAGATAAAAATGTATTTAACATAAAAACATACAATTTGCTTAGAAGAAATATAAAAACATCACTATATACGAAGCGAAGAATGTTATTACTTAAAATGTCGGAAAAGACATTTGCAACAGCAAATGAATAAGTTTGAAAAATTGTAAATTCTTTTTGTCATTTTTTTGTATTTAATGACATAATATTTGATGACAAGAAATTAATTTGAATTAAGTAATTACAAAAAATTTCAAACAAATCATATTTTATCGATTTCGATTATCTTTTTGAGTTTATTTTTCACGTCAGTCGTGAGTGACTTTTGTTATTATCGCAATCTTTGATAGTCGATTCCTAACTTATACAAGGTGTTAAAAAAACTATTCAGTATTTATATGATAGATAGTACACACCATACTGATTGTGAGTAAAGAAAGCTTAGTGAACATAGAACATAGAAGTTCAACTGTTTTCTGAGATATAAATGTTTTTGTATGAATGCCGAAGTCATTCATGAAACATCATGAATGATTTATTTACTATATTTACAAAAGGTTTCCTCTTTCCATTTCTATATATGCTTAGCTTCTTCTTACAGAGTCTTTTTGCAGAATGTAATTTATAAACACTGAGGTAAACATTGCATACGACACGTAGAAGCCAGTAAGTCATTCATGATATGCTAATATACAAAAATATTTATATTTCAAAAACGATTGAGTTTTCGATTTATGTTCACTAAAATTTTTACTCAGTGATGTATACTAACTTTGGTTTTTTTTTTTTACATAATGTCTAATTTTTATCGTATATGAACAATAATACTTTATTGAATATATATATAAAAACTGATAAGGAACACTAGGTGACAGAGTCGGGGATTTTGATGCGCTTTTTACAGTGTAAAACTACTGTTCTTGAGCGAAAAAAAAACCGATACGTGTTTCAGCCATTGGCTCTTAGTTTCGAAGAAATTGATTTTTTAAGTAATTATTGTACTAAAAAAAACTGTAAATGAAAATATCAGTATCTTTATTTTTATCTTAATTTAATGTTCTTAGTTTTAATTATTTTTTGTAAAATTGTTTTAATTATTTGATTGTTGAAAATTTCATGAAATATAGTATATTACATATTAGTATTATAGATAATTAAAAATTAATCATTTATGGAATATTTATTATCATCGTTATTATCGTCGCAGTAATTGGTAATCACATGCAACGTATAAATAAGATTGTAATGAAAATTGTTACAGTTTCTGATGAAATTAGAAATTGGAAGTTATGAATAGGAACAAGTAAGTCATATGTTTGTAATCTTCTTTTGATTAAGATTTATCGATTTATTAATAATAATAGAAATCGTGTTTTGTAAATGTACATTATACGGGATGATATAAGTCATAAAACAAGAAAAATATAAATATTCATTGCATTATAAACATCTTACAAATAAATTTTTGTTGCAGACAATAACTTTTTCTAACATCTGGCGGAAAATAGATTTGATTGATATTATGGAAATAGCTTTTTTCAGGAATCATTTTGATGAGAACCAAACTCTTCATTCTAAAATGAAATTCATTCTAAAATTCATTCATAAGATGCTCACAATACAATAAATATTTATATTTTTCTTGTTTTTATGATTTATATCATCCAATGTACGTTTACGTAAAATATGATTATATAGTATTTTCTAGATTATTTTCTAATTTTCTATTATTATTAATAAATCAATTTTTCTTATTTATGCGTTTATATGAATAATAATAACGACGATAATAATAATAAATATTCCATAAATGAATGTTTAATTATTCATAATACTAATATGTAATTTCATTATAATCAAAAAGTAATTAATTAACTTAATAACATTAAGTTAAAATAAAAATATAGATATTGATAAAAATATTGATATTTTTATTTATTTTACAGTATGTTTTTTAAATTATTACTTAATAAATAATTATTTAAAAAATCGATTTCTTCGAAACTATGAGCCAATGGTTGAAACGGCCAGACACGTATTGTCTTTTTTATCGCTTAAGAAAATGTGTCTGTAAAAAGCGCATAAAAATTCCCTGTCACTTGATGTTCCCTTTCTGAGTGATATTTTAAAATACATTTATTTTTCTTCATTCCTTTATGACTTTTAACATAATCTTGAGGAAATTGTGTAAAGCCACAAATCGCCAAGTTATGACTATGATATTAGAAGGAAAAATTTTTTTATTTTTCATAAATACGGTAGAGAATGTGAATGAATGGTCAAAATTAGATGTTTATATAATATAATACAATATATATTCTTTGTTTAAATTTAAGATATGTTGCGCGCCGAAACATTCGGACATTTTTCCTATATTAAATCAATTTATCTTTGAAATCTTCGGACTTTTAACACAATCAATATAAATATAAGACACTAATAGTCTCCCCTAAATTAAATTATAAAAACTGTAAAAAACTTTTTATATTTCGTTTGCATTTCGGAAACGTATGTTTTATCAATTCTTTATATGACTTTTGTCATGCAATCGAATTATACTTGCGTATTATTCCATGAGATTTATCGTTATCTTTTTGAATAGTCTAAAGGAGATTATAAATTTTCAATTGTCTTGTAAGATGTTTTGTAAGACAATATATATATATTTTATGAATTAAGTACTTTCTCTTTTAATACTCATATAGAAATATATAATAATATAAAAATACTTTTAATACCCAATAGAAATGCCAATCGTTTTCAATAATGTAATGCCAATGTTCAAAATATGGTAACCAACAATTGGCCAATACTTGGTATTCTATGGGCCATATCTGGCATGACTGGGTACCATTGATTTCCGTTGTTTTTTTATCTGTTACTTAATTTCGTGTGATAGTTATTTAGTCCTTATATTAATAAATATGTCGAAAAATTATTATAGACAAAAAAGTTTCGAAAATTAAAACAATTAAAAATTAACATCAGTGATAAATGTATTAATAATATTGAAAAAATTACAGTGAAGAAAATAACAGTGGAATTAATATTGATAGTACGAACAATGTAAGTGAAGTTATATTAGATCACAATGAAGAAACTATTAATTTAAAATTGATAATTATAATGCTATGAGCATTGACAATAATTCTTCCTGCACAATAAGTGACTCTAATGTAATGTTATATAATGATGAAGTTACTGATGTTGGAATAACAGAAAAAATTCAACAATGGACATTAAATAATCTGTGGACAGTTTACAATTGAATGTTGTGACGGATTTATTTCAAATATTAAGGGAAGAAGGCCATTCCTCTTTACTAAAAACTGCTCAAAATCTTTTAGGTATCGAACATCATCGAATTTTACA